ATCTTGACTGTTGATATTGGGTCCCTTGTGGGACCCATTCTTTTGGGATTTGTTGCTGTTTACGTCTGTGCTGGAGGACGATTGGTGGGGCCACTCCCATATTAGGGGCCAGATGGAGCTGACGACAGTGCTAGTAGCGGGGTGGAGTGAGGGATGTATCGAGGAGGAGAAGGAAGAATGAGCAAGTTTTTGGGAAAGACACGACTGTCACTTTTTGGAGATAGGGTTGTGTAGAGATGGGTGATAGCCTTGTTTGTTTTTTTGGTTAGGGTTGGTGGGTTATAATGTTTAGACGGGTTGGAGTAGTTTGTAGTTCCCCATGTTTTGAACTCACCTTTGTATCACCCTTGTTATTATACGAAAGATGGATGCTATTTTCATAACTTGCGTGTCCTAACATTTCTATGAATTTATGTTTCTATGACACATTCATGTTATAAATGCTGACCTTTAGAAAGAAGCATCTTCCGTTTGCGAATAATCTGATGACTAATGAGGATTAGAGGATTCAGCTTGAAAGGGGCGTGCCTGAGACGCTATAGCCCCCGATATGGTATCAGAGCCTAGGTTACTCTGGAGTGATAAGGCGAGCTAGTGATTGAAGGGTTAGGGCGCACACGCATTGTAAAACACCTGATGCATGTGTTTGTTTGTTATGTGCTAGGGAGATACAAGTAACTAAGATTACTTATGAGATATCAGTAACATATGTTACTTATTAGATACTGTGACGATTGATCATCTGAAGTAATTGGTGATCAATGTGCAGAAGATTTGTGAGACAAGATGAGGAGGAATGGTGGATCTTCCTCTAGTTCGGCACCTGGAAAGGATTTCTCGAGTGAATGGAATCCTTGAGGCATGGGCTAATGTGGCGGCACTATTTGAACAACAAGCCCAACAACAAGCGGCTGCGGGAAATGGTGATTGCCGCGTGCAAAGGCTCATTGAGCAGTTCCTGAAATTGAAACCGATTAAGTTCACGGGATTAGGGGATCCTAGTGAGGTAGAAAGGTGGATGAGGAGTTTGGAGAAGATATTTAACTTGCTGAATTGCAATGATACTGACAAACTGATCTAAGCTAAGTACCAACCGGAAGGAAATGCCGAATATTGGTGGAAGGCATCCAAAGAAACGGTGTTCCCAACAGGTACAGCTGTAGTCTGGGGAACTTTTGTGGAAGCGTTTTATGGGAAATATTTTTCTGATTGTGTAAAGGATCAAAAAATAGCAGAGTTCATGCAACTGTGTAAGAAAAATATGACAGTGGATTAATATGAAGCGAAATTTGCTAAACGTTCTAGGTTTGCACCTCGAATGGTTGAGAATGGGGAAGATAAGGCCAAAAGGTTCTTGAATGGCTTGAAGGTTGAGATAAGGAAGCAATTGGTACTGTTGGACATCAAGGATTATGGTGTACTTTATAGGCAAGCTCCACTCATTGAGCAAGAGCTAGTAAAGGGGAGGACAGGGAGCGAGGCACCAGGACGATCTGGTCACCAACCTACGCGAGACAGTGCTAGGTTTGGCAAGAGGCCTATCCAGTTTGGAAAAGCCCCTTTTGATTCCAACAAGAGACGCAACAGTGGAAACCTTGAGAGGTCCTAGAATGACCGTCAAGAGGACAAAGACCAATTGCAATTGGTAATTGTCGGATGTGTGAAAGGTAGCACGGGAGTGCACAATGTCAATCATCAAGGCAATGTTACGGATGTGGACAGTATGAGCATATTTCTAGGTATTGTCTTCAAGGGGGACAGCCGCCGCAGCAAATAACTCACGGAGGAGCACAGCAGCAAAGGAACTTACAGAGGCCGCCAAACCAAGGAAGAGTTTACGCAGTTACTCAAGAGGAAGCTGAGGCTTCTAAGACTATTATTTCATGTACGCTCTCCTTGTGCAACATAAGGCATATGCTTTATTTGATATTGGTGCTACCCACTCGTTTATATCTGCCAATTTGTGCGATTGTATGGATTGAAATCTGAATTACTTGAAGTGCCCCTTAGTGTCTTTACACCTTTAAAAGATAAGGTGTTGTTAACTTTAATGTGTAGAGATTGTAAGATATTTTTAGGTGGGACGGATCGAATTATAGATTTGGTGGTATTAATTATGTATGACTTTAATGTCATCATAGGAATGGATTGGCTCAATAAACAACGAGCCAATGTTGATTGTTATGGAAAAAAAATCCAGTTTGATCCTCCAGATCACTCTAGTTTCGAATTTCTTGGAAGTGGGATGGACCCCACTGTACCACTTATTTTGGTACTAGAAGCACATCGCCTGCTCAGCAATGGTTGCCAAGGATATATAGCAGTCATTAAGGATCAAAGTGAAAAGGAAGCAGAGCTTGAGGAAATTCTAGTGGTCCAAGAATTTCCTAACGTATTTCCTGAGGAATTGCCAGAATTAATCCTGGAACGAGAGGTTGAATTTGCTATTGAATTAGCCCCAAGGACAGAGCCTATATCGAAAGCCCTTATAGAATGGCCTTAGCGGAATTGAAGGAATTAAAAGTGCAATTACAAGAATTGCTTGATTGGGGATTTATACGACCAAGTGCATTACCGTGAGGTGCGCCAGTGCTGTTTGTGAAGAAGAAGGATGGATCCTTACACCTGTGCATCGACTATAGATAGTTGAATCAAGCAACGGTTAAGTTAAAGCCCTAATGGTTTGTTCAAATTTTCGTGAAATTTTTAAAGAGTTTTTCTCATTTTTCACAAGTTTTAAAACTAAATCTAGAATGAAATTAATACTAATATCCAGTGAAATTAACCCAAAAATAATTTCTAAACCTTTTCTGAATTTTTTAATATTTTTCTGAATTTTTTTTGAATTTTTAGTGTTTTTAATATTTTTCGAACAACTGATAGGCGAATCTGGATATGGATTTTAGGCTGAGATTGTAGGCGCTTTTCGGCTTAAACATGAGGTTTAAAGATCTAAACGGCCATACCCACTACAAATATGTTTCAGTTTGCGAGGAAACGTTAAAAAATCAACACGACTAAACTCAATGTTCTAAGCTTGTACTGTTTCATTGAGGCATTTTGTCAAACACGTGGGGGTGCAACTGAGAAAACGGGGCTACAGGTCTGATTTTAGCATTGTTCATGGCCTAGTTTTAACGTAAAATGTTTAGAATGACATCATTCAGTGTCGGACAACTGTAAACCTCCATTGATGGAGCTAAGCAATCACCGAGTAGGCTCGGTCCTCCTGGCTCCCGAGAGGGAGGGGAAGGAAGGCCAAAACAGAGCAAGACCAAACCGGGACCTACCTGGTTCGCGACTGGCCAGGACGAAATGCGGTGGCTAACGGCTTGGCCTCCGACGAGAATTGAGGGCGACTAGAGCGAATGACCGGCGAACGACCCGCGAACGGGAGGTCCTTTCCTTCTTTTTCTCTCTCCGCCCCTCTCACTCTCGGTTCCCCTCCTGCTTTTCTCTTTCTCCACCAGCTCCCCTTTTGTCTATCTACCATCTATGATGTGCCTGAACTTCCCTGTTTTTTTTGGGTCCTTTCTTCCTTTTTGCTTCTTTTGTGAAAGTGTGGGTGGAGTTTAGAGAGGCAGAGAGGAGATCCCCTTCGTATCAGTCCATGGAGAAGAGTTCACCTTTTGTTGTTTTTTTTTTTAAATAATATTTAAAAAAATATATGTTTTACTAAATTCTATTAATGCAAATGCACCTCGTGTCTTCATGCTATGCAAATTAATGAGAATTATTTTTGTTTAGAGGTTAAAAATTAGTCCATAAGTTTTTATGCAATTAAACCCTAAATATATAGTCAAAATTTAGGTGTCAATAGCGATTCGTTATCTGTCGTTCAAATTTGGAAACGTCATCTGTGCAGTATTTCGAATTAGGTAACATGTTATCCGATTCAATTTTGATATATTAAGTTACCTAATTTGAGTTTTTTGTGACCTCAATTAAATGCTGTGTCGATATTGTCATATCCAAAAATATTTTTGAAATCCGTGAATTAGGATATTTTCCTAATTTCATAATGTGCATATGATTGCCAGTCCGATTTCATGTCCGGAATACGACTCGAGATTGCGCAGAAAATCGTCAATCTGATTTTCCGCCCAAGATACAATTCGCGATTGCACAGAAAATTGGTCATCAATCCGATCTCATGCCCGAGGTATGATTCGCGGCTATACAAAAAAAAATTGAAGTTGTAAAAAATTACTATAAAGTGGTAAGACGGTTTCGCACCAATCGGAGCAAGGAGGCCACCTGGTCGGATTTTGGTCTAAAAGTTGGCCGAAGTCAACAGTAGGGTACATGGAGATGAATTTGAAAATATCAAGGACCATATTGCAATGATGGACACATCAAGGGGGCGATTTGCAACGATCCGAAAAACGTAGAGAGCAAAATGTAAATCGCCCACGAAAATATATTATCGAGGGAAAATTCAGAATATACTCTGATTGACTGATTTCCCCGAGCTACTCAACTGGATGAGCAAGTTTAAGTTTGTGTCTGAATTCGATTTTTAATTTTTAAAATTTATGTTTTACTCAGACAAAAAAAAACGTTCATTTTCAGTCTAGATGTTTCGATCAATATGTAAAATAAAATAGAGAATAATTAGGAAAAACATAAAGAATCTTAAAACTCCAAATTCCATAGGGATAATATAATGAAAAATCTCAAACTGATACATTTGTGACAAATTTACCATTCGTTAAATAAGATTAATACCAAGAAAAATAAAAAAAATTGGTAAACATGTGACAAACGGATGAGTAAAATCTTAAAGTGATATATTTGTCAACTGCTACGTGTCATCCAATTCAGAAAATTAACAGTAAAATTTATCGGAAACTGAAGGAGGATAAATTTGTCACAGATGTATCAATTTGAGATAAAATTAATTCGGGTCAAATTTATCACAAATATATTAGTTTAGAGTTTTCTTGGTATTAACCCAATTCCAAACAAAACAGGAAATGGAAAAGGAAAGGAAAATACCAGTAGAGCAGTTGATGGACGATGTGGTGGCTGATAAATCTTTTCCCGGATAAACCCCTATCTCTCTCTTCATCACAAAAGTCCCGCCGCCTCTCTTCGGCCTCTCAGCCCAAACGCACAGAACCGCCCACCAGCTTCGGCCCTCTCGCCGCCGCCGCCGCCGCCGCCCATCTCCGCCGTCGTCTTCGTCTTCTTCAGCATATCGCCTGACCTCTCACACCCACCATCGTAGCCGCTTCGCAAACCTCATCACACAAGTCCGCGCACGCACCCAGGTACGAGGATGTCCAGGAAAGGAGCTCCGCTCCAGAAGGACGTGCCCTGGCGGGCGTCCTCCGGCAGGCCCATCCCCAAGATCCACCACAACCCTGTCCTCCGCGTCTCGCAGACGCCGCACTCCAGTTACGCCATCTCCGTCATGAAGGTCAGTGAGTCCCCTCCCCTCCTTTCCGATACCCTGTGTTGCACGCTTGTCGTGGAGTGGTTTCGAAGGTTCTTGTCGCGGATTCATTTTGGTGTGTTGTGTGGCAGCATCCTGATCCGATCGGGAGTGGGTTGGCGATTGGAGCGGTGGTTGAAGCTGCGGGGCCGGATTGTATCGTGCCTGGTCAAATTCCGCCTGTGAAATTACTCGGTGTCAAGGTGATTTGGGGTTTTTCTTTTTGCCCCATTTCTGAAGTTATCGAATGGAACGACAATGAACTGTTTTTTTTTCTTTTCGGGTTTACAATATATGATATGCCATGGGAAATTAGTCTGTTTCGTTCTTCGTGAGGGTCTCGGATACTCTTGAGATGAAGGTTTTACTTGTGGGTTTATCTTCTTAGTCTCTTTAGCTGTTATGCACTACTGCCTTTTGAGTGCTGGAATGCTCAGTGACGCTAGAACATGATTTCTGCTGATTGAGTCCTTCCTTTATAGGATGAATGCGCATTCTTGCTCGAGGGAGCTGCTGATTTTATAGAGCGTTTGCCCTTTCCGTTTATGCCTAGGTTATATGACCTCGATAGCTTTAGTTGCTGGTTTCTCCAAATTCGTTGACGAAGCCCCCTAAATTAAATATGTCTTCATGCTGATCATTCTTCTCCAAGTTTATGAGGTGGATTGTTTACTAGCCTCTTCCGGAAATACATAAAGTTTGCCTGACAATGAGATAAGGTCCCTACTTTCCCGGTTCTCAATGGGTTGGTTCTTTAAAGATGTAATTGTTAATAATTTTTAGGAGTCTAGGTTTAAATGTTTTTCCCAATTCAAGTTTGGTGTTAGAATATCGGGGTTGCTTTATTTGAAATTGTTTAAATTTGGGTTTGGCTGAAATGCATATTCCGAAGTGAGGTTACTTGTGTATATCTGATGTGGCGCATTACATGGCTTTAGGGTTTTAGGGACTTGACGGTGGGAGTTTAGTTATTTTTGTCCTTTGACAAGATTGGTTTTTATTATCTTGCCATTAGGTAATTTGATGGGTAAATTTAATGAATTACTACCCTGTGATCCCCAGTCTCACCAAGGTTATTGAAATTACAATTTCAAGGCACCTCTAGGAAATGCTGGAAACTAATTTTGGAGTTGCCTGAACAGTATGTGGTTCTGACTATGAGAAAAATAACCTCTAGCAACTACTCTTGGAAATATTTACTCTTGAGATGGTCACCATGAAGAGTTGATCAGAAACTACTCAAAAAACAAGAGGAGTTAATTACATACTCTGTTTTGCATCTCTCCCTCTCTCTCTCTCTCTCGCAACTGAGGAACACTCCTCGAGCTGTCACTGCCATGACCTCTTGAACATCTGGTTACTGTTGTAATATTCTCCTGGAATATTGTAAAGGAAACGATGAATATTATATCTTTATCCTGCTTAATATGGAGTTTCTCCATACTTGCTATGTTTTTATACTTGAACATTCAAATTTAATTATGGGATACATTGATATTAAACCATTAGTTATTCAGATTACATTTTCCTTATATGACTTCTTGTGTTACAGAGTAGTCATGCTACTTTTACATAAGAGGATGCAAGAAGAAAGCACTTCTCCCATCTGTTTGTATGTTTTTCCTTTTGTCATTTTGTTGGAGACCTGATTTGTCTTTTCAATAACTTTCTGTCAGATGTTGACGAGAGAAATTGGTTGCTCATTGATGCTCAGCATTGTTTTATTTTTTTATGTGCATGACAAGAGTGGTTTGGATATCATTCTTCATTGTGTTTCATGGTATCCTTCATCTCTTTTGTTGATATCATGCATCTTTCTTGTGTCCAAACAGGTCTGGCCAATTAATGTTGACCTGAAGTTTATGGAACCTGTTGAAAGGGAATTGAAATCGCTTGGGAAGGTACTTATGTTTTTGTCTCTCTTGTCCTTATCAGTTTGTGTTATGATTTCTAGGTTCTTGAAATATGAATTGATCTATCTAAGTAGCGGCTGGGGTTATGGTTGCTGCACTTTAGGCAATTTCATTTGCCTGTAGAGACCTTTTTTTCAGTTATTCTGAAATGGATATTTATTCCGAAGTTTTATAGTGGGTTTTTCTCCTGCATGTGGAAAATCCATGAGCTATTTGAACTTTGGAAATGATGAACTTTGTTAGGAAGGTCTATTTGTTTTAGGTAGAGGATCTGTCGTCTGTTCTTTTGATGGAGAATTTGATGTTCTGTCAGAAGTGTAAATGCCCTTGTGTATATGGTTTTATGGAATTAAAGTGGCATCCCAATGATGGTTACTGATATCTAAAACTGGGTTATGTTGTTAAATACACAGAAGTACAGGACGCCCTAGAATTTCTGATGGAGAGAGAAGAGAGTAGACATTATGTAATGCTGTGTAGGGCTGGCGGATTTCTTCTTAAGACGATTGGTTGTCTTGCCAAGCATGGTTTTAGAAGTTTTTGATTGCATAGGTCGCTTGGGTTGTTTAAATAAGTAGACAGTCTGCTTCTCACATCTCATTTCTGCTATTAGTAGGGTTGGTCTCTCTTTTTCTGTCTTTCCATTCATGCTTTGATAACTAGTTGTTACATCGTTTTGCTCATAGTTGTAGATTTTCGTGGCACATTACTAATAGCAAATTTTGGTTTCCGTTTCTCTGGATGCAGTTCATGGATTCGGCTGTTAACCTCATGAACAAGTCGTTCATAGATCGTTAAGTGCTTCAGACTCTCTTATTTAGTTTAAAAACAAGCATGGGATTGCAAATTAACCCTTTTCTTGTTGCGACAGAATCGTAGCCAAGTAGAGTGGACTATGAAGAGGATTTTGCTTTTGCTCGTTCTTGTGGACGGACCATTTTGGTTGACACCTGAGCTGGTCACTTGGGTAGATATCTTGGTTGTGGAAATAATGTATTACATAGTATCGCGTTTACAGTTACACATTTGTAAGTCATATCAAGTGTAGGCCCGATCTTTCTCGATCTTTCTCCAATTAAACCAGAGTTGTCTCCTAGATACGAGTGGGTAATAGATATACCGTTGTCAAGTTTTTGCAGCTGTCTTATAAGAGTAGACCTGTTAAACGGGTCTTAAATGGTCCGACCCAACTTGACCCATTTAATCCGTTTATGATCCATTTATTGCAAGGTAAAAATCTTGATCCATACTCGATGAGACCCATGCCCGATCCGACCTATTTAACTAAATCTAGGAAAGCTTATTTCTGATAATTATTTTAAAAGATTTATATTGCTAAAACATTTTCATGCAATACAAATTTTAAAAAAAAAATTAAGGCTCCATTTGTTTCGTGGAAAATATAACATTTCTAGAAAATGTTTTCAGGAAAATGACAATATTTTTCAATATTTGGTTGAAATCTTGAAATGAACTAGAAAATATTTTCCGCAATATGGTATGAAAAATCATATTTTCCTCTATGCATTCATTTTAATTTTTTTATTTTAAAACAAATCATTTTTTTATTTTTTTTATTTTTTTCCTTTTTTTCTTTTCCTTTCTTTTTTTCTTTTTTCTTTTTTCTTTTTCTCCTGCTGGCGGCCGGTCACAGGCAAGGGACGAGCTCGTCGGAGGCCGGCGAAGCTCGAGCTCTCCGATCGGGCAAGGTTGAGGCCTCATCGTCCACTAGCGAGCCTCGAGCCTCGCCGACCTCTCGAGCTCGCCCGAGGTCGGCGAGGCTTGCTAGTGGCCGGCGAGGCCTCGACCTTGCCAGATCGGCGAGCCTGAGCTTCGCTGGCCTCCGGTGAGCTCGTTCCTCACTTGTGGTTGGCCGCTGATCGTCGCCGTGGCCGGCCACCGGCGGGGGAAGAAGAAAAAAGAAAAAAAGAAAAGGAAAAAGGAAAAGAAAAAAAGAAAAAGAAAAAGAATAAAAAGAATATAAAAATTAAAAAAATCAGAAAATTAAAAAACATTGAAAATTTCACTTAAGCTTATTGGGTAATCCATGTATAATCCATTTAAGACCCATTAAGTTAATAAGCGACCTATTAAGTTAATAAACAACCCACTAATGATCAATTTAAGTCTATTTTTAAAACTAAACTCAGTTCACTTATAACTCACAATCATTAGATATGGGTTAATATATGGGTTCTTGACCCATTTACCACCTCTATATAAGAGCAATCATCCCTTTCTTTTGGCGCTAATTTGAGGATATTTGTGAAAGAAATAGTGATTGTCATTTCGAGGTAAGGTTATTATTACTCCTTTGAGAATCAAATGTAGAATCGTAGGGCACAGCACTGTTACGTGACGTACTTGGAAACAGTTTGGTTTTCTAAGTATTACAAGGAGGACTCGCCCTCTGGCCAGGTTGGGCTCTGTAAAATTACTGATATCCCTGATGATAATACTATCTTGATAATTGAGCATCGAAAAGACTATCGCAATGAAAGAATGTCGTGAGTACTTATATAGATGCAATTCCCTATGAGGTTTTGGGGATCCACAACTGCAATGCATCCTTCTCTAGTATTAACGATCATCCCTTGGACCTTATTAATGGCGTACTACTGTCAGGCCCTCTTACAGTTTCAATGAATAGGACATTTACAAGTTTGAGCATTGGTCAAGTCTGAGAGGGCAGTTGCTGAGAATGTTCCCGAGAAGTGCGGTAATTGCCAAATTTCCTTTACCCAGAACTTGTATCTACACATACCATGTTTGCTTGCGAAAACGAGGAGAAAATCTCCTGATACCATAAATACCTGAAGCATCAACTATACAATGAGTCATGAAACAGAACTCCTGCAATTACTCTAATTCCTTTGATTTGTGATAGAATACTCACAGTGGACCATCTCTAGTTGAGAACACTCGAGAAGCAATGGTATTATTTGCTAAGATCAGCTTGCTATCACTAGGTATAAGCTAAGCCACCGTCCATATGCGCGGCACTAGAATTCCAGTTCTCATTTACATAAAATCTAATTCTGCTTTGCTGTTTCTCCAGCAAAATCCAGGATCTAAGTCTACTTTGTGGTAGTCTGTTCGGAGTCAGAAAGGCACTCCAGCCCAAGGGACTTCTAGAAATTCTTGTTTACAACACATAAAAAGTGTTAACTGATTTAGAACCACAGTGCTTCTCAATGTGCTTCAGATTGCAAAAGTTTATAGCCCCCCAATAGGACTGTCGCCAAGATCCATTCGCCAGTTCCCCTCGACCTACCAAAGAACATTATCCTAAAGAAGCTTATCATCATCAGTCTACGTTTTTAAAATACTGAGCAGAGAGCAGCCAAAAAGCCAGAGCTGGTGATCCCAAAAAAGCAAAGGGATAGAGGCCTTCCAATTTGTCTTGCTTGTAGACAGAACCCTTATATGACATAACAACACCAACGGTTCAATGCATTGCTATTTATATCTGTTCATGGTGCTTCCACATAGGCATGGTAGTGTGATCCACCTAGGGTGTTTCCAAGTATGAATATTTGCTGGTTCCTTATTCTTCCATGTGACCTTCACAGTTGCTGCCTTATTCTTAGTCTCCTATATATAAGGAGATTGGTTTCCTCTTGCTTCTTGCCGAAAAATGATGGGTCATCGAGTGGAAGCATGAGATGAAAAATTGCGCAAAGGACCTTGGATTGAGCAGGAGGATCAGATCTTAACCACCTTTGTCACCGTTTTAGGGGAGAGGCGGTGGGATTACATTGCAAAAACATCGGGTACGGTTGTTATAAAAGTTAACCTTGTTGTACATACTTAATGGAAAAGGAAACATTCATCTTATATTCCACACTGATAGGGACACTAGTCAACCATCTGAAGTTGTATAAATGCAGGTCTCAAGAGGAGCGGTAAGAGTTGTCGGCTGCGATGGAAGAACTATCTTTGCCCCAATCTCAAGCGTGGTCCCATTAGCCCTGCAGAGGAGAGGATTATTATTAAACTTCATAAGCAATGGGGCAACAAGTGAGTTACTTCTGATTCAAATCATTGCCACTTCTTATTGATTTAGTATAGTCATTGTGAACATGGTAGATTATTTGACAAGATTTTGCTGAAAGACTGTCCTATATGTTCTTCCAGGTGGTCTAGGATAGCAGAAAAGTTGCCAGGAAGAACCGACAATGAGATCAAGAACTATTGGAAAACCCACTTGAGGAAGAAAATGCAATCTTCGAAACAAGGTTTGACTGGAGCTGCTTGCGATGACCCACAATCTCAAATGAGCAATAGAAATCAAGATTCCAGCTTGTCTAATGCGGTTTACCAATGTGAACAAACACAGGACTGCCAAGACCACTTCCCAATTGCTGATAGCTCGAAAACCATAGGCAGTTCCTTGAACATTCTCAGTTTCTTGGACTTTTCACGCTTGAATTCTCCATACGAGATCCGTTTATTGGATTGGATGTCGGAGTTCAGGAACGATGCAAACGAAGTGAATTGTGTGGACTGTAAACCCTTGGGCTCGTCCTTTTGTTATCCAAAATGGGATTTTGAAGGAGTTGATAATTCTATATGGAACTGCCCGGGATGCCTTTGGGAGTAACTTCTTAGTTCTTCCTTCGAGCGCTTGAAACACTTGCTCTCTTGAGAATGCAAGGATCGAGTTTGTTCTTATCTGGTAGCTCTTCTTGGTACCTAAACTACTTTAGTTCATACAGAGTTCCAAACTACGCAAACCAAGCCAATAGAATTGCCAAGTTTAGGGCTTATGCTCTATAATGAGTTAAACAATTGTTATGATGATCAATTGGCTGTGTCTGTGCATATACCTGATGGACTGAGGCTCGATCCTGGCGTTAATTGAGGTACCTCAACACGGACATGTTGTGTTGTACAAGCTGCTTTTGCCAACCCATCACATCTTGAAAAAGAGTTCTGACCACATTTATGAGTTAATTAGAAGATGCTTAAATTGCTTCTCTAGCTAAACTTCTACTTGAAAATTGTTTTCTTTTCCACTAATCCGTTATTCTACTACTTTGATACCTTTGCATATACAGAAGTGAGCGATTTAGGTTCATTGTCACTGTTCTTTGAAAATCACTCTATCTGGGAAACCTCAACTATGCTCAGTCACTTGCTGAATGAGTGAGCGGCGATCTCTTCAATCAGGCTATGAAGATCTCAACTCGTTTCCCATAATGCGTGCTTGCCCATGGCATCTACAGCTTCTTAAGACTTTCACAGACAGTTTCCTCTCGAGCAGTAAACTAAAGCAATATAGTTGAACACTCTTCTTTTCTTTGGCCATAAGAGAAAAGAGAGTACCCTTCTTTCTATGAACAAGATATATCAGCTGAACGCGACCATTAACTTTAAGCTCGTGTTGCATTGCATGCCATAACTGTCGATCCGATCCTAGGCACGGTAATGCTTTAACAAGAAGACTGACTGATGTAATACTTTGCCTAGCCACATATCTGCCATGACCACTAGTTTCTTCAGTTCGAGCTTCAACTCAATGGAACATACAAATGAAACTGCAAAGCCAAAGCAGTTCTCTGAAAAGGAGTGACTCTCGAAACTAAGGGCTGAGGCAAGTGTTATTGCGTCAAAGGTGATCCCAACTTCCACGTGGCAGACAAAGTAGCGGCTAAGAAGCCTGCGATTTCTTTTCTTATAAAAATTAGAGAATAAATAAGTGCATGTGTATTTTCCTTTTGTGGAAAGACCTCGTCACTCACTGCCTCGCTACTTCCGGCAATGTGAGCGTGTCATTAGAAAACAATATCACGTTCCAGGTCATTGCTCACTTTCACTCGCTCAACACACCAGTTGCTTTTGCCAAATTCCTTTTTGATCGACACGAAGGATAAGATGGGGGCAAACCCTATTACATCATCTTCAACCCACAAATTCCGTACCAGTACAATCTTATTATCATCTTTCGATCAGATGGGAAAGAAAGGGGAGGCCCCAACTTGGGAGTTGGAAGCAAAACATTAGTCCGATGGCGATTACGGGCTTTCGTAAGTGGTTGAAGACTCTTGCAGTGTGCTAGGTATACTTGCAGTACATTAGTTCGGTTCGTCACATCATCAGTGCAAATGATTTCATGTTTAGATCATCTACTCGAAG